CGGAGGCCACAGCAGCCCCATCATTCCCTTGTCCTGCCCCACTTCTTTTAGATTCAACAGATGTTAGGCTTGAAAATTATCAAAATAACTAATACTAATTTGGGGAAGAAATAAGAAAATCATAAAGAGGTCATTTTATAAAACTTTTAGTTATTTCTTAACAAGTTTCATCCTGTTTTGAATGTATACATGAAGGAGTTAATATGTATCACACAACTTCTTCTTTGCATAAGATAACATTTAAAATGCTCATTCAAGTGCTACATTGATATGTAAGAACAATCACAGTCTCAGGTAACAACTCATTCCAAATGAAAAATATGACTAACAAAATTGACTAATTAGATAAATACTACCTACCTATTCTCAACAATTAATTTTAAAATTTAGCATATAAAGTTTTAGGCTGATTAGCTGACTTAATTAGCTTAATTGGCTGGCTTAATTAAATTCTTTTTTATATTAACTTGACTAGACATTTGAAATGAATTTGGAGAAGCATCATGTTGAATATAAAATATGTAATGCAGTCAGGGACAAAACACGGCTTCTTCAGAGATTAATTAATTAGGACTCTATTGTTAGTACTAAATTCATTGCTACAACTTTGTCCAAAATTTCTATCTACTGTTTAAAAAAGTCTGGATAAAATGATTTTACCATTAAGTATATTTATTAATGTATCTTGTCTTAAATCTACCTACTTTTAAAATACTTTTTAATTATTGGTAATATTTTGACTAACAAGTCCTAACTGCCTACACTTACGGAGAACAATGTGATGTTTCCATATAAATATACAATGTTTCCGTCAGGTGAATTAACATATCCATCACCTTGTTTATCTATCAAGTTTCACAAGGAGACATTTGACATTTATTCTTCCTTATTTTGATAAATACAATAATTCTTGTATATAGTCACTCAGCTGCGTAATAGATGAGAAACCCCATTCCTTCTGTCCATCCAAAACTGTGCACCCTTTAATCAGGAACTCCCACTCCCTCCCTCCGTAATACCCAGCTGCTAGTAACCATCATTCCAGTCCCTCCTTCCACGAATTCCACATTTTTAGGTTCCGTGTATATGTGAGATCGTGTGGCATTTGTCTTTCTCTGCCTAGCTTATTTTATGTAGCATAATGTCCTTCAGATTCATCTGTGTTGTCACAATGACAGCGTTTCCCCCTTTTGTAAGTTGAACAGTACTTCATTGGTATATAGACCATGTTTTCTTTGTCTATTGTTGATGGGCACTGCCTACATTATTAAATTCACCTGGTTTTTAATGGGGGTATTTTGAGATCCCTCATATGGGAAAATCAGTCTCTATTTTAAAAAGTGCTTTTTATTAGTTAGCAATGATTGTTCTACCCAAGCTAAGTTTTCGCCAGTCCTCAAATTTCCAGCTGTATACAGAGGTAAGCCAGGTCTTGGTGGAAGAAGAACTCAACTGAAAATATTGATATAAGACCATTGTCAACACAATTTTCATAAAAAGTCTAGTTTCCATGTGGCTGTAGAACAGGAAGGTTTAAAACTCAAAGCCAATAATTTCCCCAGCACATGGAGGAGGCAGCTGCAGGCCCCCCCAGCCTGTCTGTGGATAAGGGTTCTTTATAACCAAGGGCTTCGGGCCTGGAGCTCAGGGTGGTCTCTCAGGGGAGGGTGTGTTTGTGTACCTCATTTGGGGCATGTGGGAAGGGGGAGAGATTTATAGAGTATCATTTAATTTAATAACATCCTAAAATGCTAGTTTTTTTTCCTGCACACATTCTCAGCTGTGACCCTGCAGTACTTCACAAAGACCGTGCTCATTATTTTGCAAAACAGAGATGCACTTCCTGCTGTTACCTTTCTAAAAATAAAAAACATTTGAAGTGCAGCAGAAATATTATTCATCATTTTTATGCATATTTAAATTTTATTCAAACTTGCCTTGTTTGCCATTCTAGTAGAAAAAATTTGCCTCTGTAGTATAAATTAAATATTCCAAATACAGACTCACCCAGTAACTTAAATTCCTATAATTCCTTTCTATTTCATTTATATTACAAAATGGTGTTTCCTTTAGCACACATGAGATTTATGAAGGGATAGATTAGTGTAGCCATTTTCGGGTATTATTTTAAAGCTAAATGCACATTTTAAAAAAGACAAGAATTATTCTAGACTCATGAAACTAAAGAGGCCTCCAGGGATCACTTTGGCCTTTCCCGCCAGTATTACAACAAGTCATCAACTTCCGCGGCCGATATTACCTCACACAGGAAACTCAGAGGTTAGAACCTGCTCAAACTTACAAACACCCCCAAACTGCAAACAGACCTCTAAGCAAAAAATTCTACTTCTTTTTTTTTTTTTTCCGAGACAGAGCCTCAAGCTGTCCCCCTGGGTAGAGTGCCGTGGCATTACAGCTCACAGCAACCTCCAACTCCTGGGTTCCAGCGAGTCTCCTGCCTC